AGTTTTAAGCCCGGATAGTAGGTATTCGTGGAGGAGCCGAGGTGCCCCACGTCCATCCAGCTCGGCGGTCAGGCCCCGCCCCCTTATCATAATAATTTTAACCCTTTCACTGACTTAGGCTTGTTATTTGATTAGACTTCATGATGCATGGATCTTGTTGCTGACACCTTTCCTCTGGTACCGGCCAGAGAATGAGAGGAGATGGAGAGAGAGCAGCTACTTCTGTTGGGAGACCGGCGTGCATTCAAACATGAACCGTGTGAACAGTCGACAAAAGGATCAAAGTTAAAATGTCAGAATACAAAATCAAATGCCAAACTCTCTTGCTTTAGACAAGGCTATGGTAACTGTAAGGGAGAACCTTAGTGACTTCATCATACAGCTCAGCAGTGGCTTTAAAAATGAAAAATATCACCAGCGCATGACACATGCATTGCTATGGGAGAGGGTGGCAATTGTCTAATGCCTTTCCTCGGGGCCGCCACTAGAAATTTTGGGGCCCCTGACAAAGCACAAGGTTTGGGCCCCCCGCCCGGCCCACCCACAGGACTCCTACCTAATCCGCTGCAAATGATGCAGGACTGAATGTGGTGTGTATAGTGTAAATTAATTAGAATGTATGTAATGGATGTAGTGTTTGTGTGTATTAGATACTGTTTGTGCAGTGAATGCAGAGTGTGTGTTTGTGTAGTGGATGCAGTGTGTATAGTGAACGCAGAGTGTGTATGAGTAGTGGATGTAGTGTTTGTGTGTACTAGATGCAATGTGTTTAGTGGATGTAGTGTGTGTATTATACGCGGTATCTCTGTATAGTGAATGCAGAGTGTTTGAATGTGTGGTGGATGTAGTGTGTGTACTGTGAATACAAGATGTTTGTGTAGTGGATGCTGTGTGTATAGTTAATGCAGAGTGTGTGTGTCAGTGTAATGAATGCAGAGTGTGTGTCAGTGTAGTGAATGCAGAGTGTGTGTCAGTGTAGTGGATGCAGAGTGTGTGTTAGTGTAGTGTATGCAGAGTGTGTGTGTTAGTGTAGTGTATGCAGAGTGTGTGTGTGTTAGTGTAGTGTATGCAGAGTGTGTGTGTGTTAGTGTAGAGTATGCAGAGTGTCTGTGTGTTAGTGTAGTGAATGCAGAGTGTGTGTGTGTGTCAGTGTAGTGAATGCATGTAGTGTAAATAGAGCATTCCAAAAAGCTTATTCCCCCCTCCCTGTTGGTCCGGTGGCGTTGTGGGCCCTGCGGACTGCCAGTGTACTTACAAGCTTTTCCCTCTCTGCAACTCCCGCGAGCGCGGTGTGCATGCTGCGTGGAGCGTTGCCATGGTAACCCATGGCAACACTCTGATGGCCACGGATCTCGCGGGAGTTACAGAGAGGGAAGAGCTTGTAAGTACACTTGCAGTCCGCTGGGCCCCCTCTGTAAGTACAGGGAGCCGGGGGCCTGCGGCTGCACCTGCACTGCACATATGTATAGCGATCGTCGCTATATATATGTGCATAGAGTAATTGTGGGGCCCTGGACTGCCAAAGCAGTCCGGGCCCCCCAGGACCGCCAGGCCAGTGACAATCGTTATGGTTGTCACCCCCTGATGGCGGCCCTGCCTTTCCTCCCCAAGTGTACTCCCCCATCCCCCATCACAGATCCTACTACCAACTACTGCCCCTACCCCCCACAACAAACACTTTTCACCATCCCTTTTGATCCACTAAAGCCCCTACCCCCTGCACCCACCCTAGCCCCTATTATCCCACACGTACTGCATCCCCTTTTTGTCCCCCTACAGTATTTGATCTCCTACTGCTTTTGAACATTTATCTACTGATCAGTCTATAATTGTAATGGTAGTTGTATTTTAACAGTGAGAGACAGAATAACAAAAAATAAAATCCAGAAAAACACACGTCAAAAAAGTTATCAATTAATTTGCATGTCAATGAGTGAAATAAGTATTGGATCCCCTATCAATCAGCAAGATTTCTGACTCCCAAGTGTCTTTTATACACAGTAACGAGCTGAGATTAAGAGCACTCTCTTAAAGGGAGTACTCCTAATCTCAGCTCGTTATCTGTATAAACGACACCTGTCCACAGAAGCAATCAATCAGATTCCAAACTCTCCACCATGGCCAAGACCAAAGAGCTGTCCAAGGATGTCAGGGACAAGATTGTAGACCTACACAAGGCTGGAATGGGCTACAAGACCATCGCCAATGAGCTTGGTGAGAAGGTGACAACAGTTGGTGCGATTATTCGCAAATGGAAGAAACACAAAATAAATGTCTCCCGCGATCTGGTGCTCCATGCAAGATCTCACCTCGTTGAGTTTCAATGATCATAAAAATGGTGAGGAACCAGCCCACAGCTACGTGGGAGGATCTCGTTAATGATCTCAAGGCAGCTGGAACCATGGTCATCAAGAAAACAATTGGTAGCATACTACGCCGTAAAGGACTAAAAAATCCTGCAGCACCCGCAAGGTCCCCCTGCTCGAAAACCACATGGACAGGCCTGTCTGAAGTTTGGCAATGAACATCTGAATGATTCAGAGGAGAACTGGATGAAAGTGTTGTGATCAGATGAGACCAAAATCAAGCACTTTGGCATCAACTCAATCCACACCCATAATCCCAGCAATCCTTCCATATCCATTAGCCAAGCCACATATTTACATCCATAACAGCCAGCCACACATCCACATTCTTTATTCACAACCATCCATCCACACCCATTACCCTAACCCACATCTAAAAGCCTCAACTATCAATACCCATCACCAACATACCTTTCAAAAAATCTGTAAAAATGTTAGCAGACTCCGCCTACCACCACCTCCAGCTCAGTTATACATTGTATTAAACTGTGATTTTCTGCTCTTTTATATTTATGCACTGATATGTGCTTAGATGGCATCTTCCCCACCAAGGGAAATCATAGTATGAATTATCCATGAAATTAAAAACACTAACACGTTTGGCTCACAATAAGGCACCCTTAGGCCTTATTGTGGGCGCCACACATTAGTGTTTTTTTACCGGATTTAGACCTTCAGAGCAGGTAAGAACCAACAAGGGGGACTTAGATGGGTCAGACCCAATCACAAAGCGGGACTTTCACAATCTGGTCACAGAGATCAAGAGCCTACTGGAAGCTGATGTGGCTGTAATTAAGGCAGACATGCAAGCAGTCACTGACTGGGTGAAGGCCTCGGAGGTTAACATATCAGACCTCAAGCAGGGACTGTCATCCCTACAGTATTCTGTACTGGCCATACAAACCCAGCAACAAGCTCGCTTACTACACTACATAGCCTTGGATGACAGGTTACAATGCAACCACCTCAAGCTTAGAGGGATACCTGACTCCAACACATCTGACGAGCTCCCACACTATAAGGTGACTGGTAGCCACAATAGTTCCACCGAATCATGCTAAGAAGTTTACCCTAGATGGCATCTACCGTTTATCATCAGCAGGCAGAGCAGCCTCTACTATGGTACAAGATGTGATCATGCGTTCTACCCCACAGGACAAAAGACTCCCGATGTCTGCACTCCGAGGCAAGACGCCACTAACCTTCGAGGGAGAAAGTCTCTCTATTTACCAGGACCCCACCAGATCCACGCTACAGTGGTGAAGATCCCTAAACCCTGTCACCAACCACCTGAGAGCAGCAGACGTGGAATACCACTGGAGATCTCCTAGGTCTCCAGACCACATGATTCGGCAACCAAAAACCTGACTACACTTAGGGTCCTATTATACATCTGCAGCTCGAACTTCTATGTTTTGTTTAGATAATGCTTAATGTACTAACAGTTTATTTGGTTCTCCACCTTACGGAGTCTAATTGCCTGCAAATATATGCTCCGGCACTCAGAAACACAGATCTTCGCCCTTATACAATGGTGTGTTATACCACACTACTGACAACATTCCCACACCGATACCCCCTTGGTTACGGGAACAATTAGAAGATGGCCACCTAATATCACCCGATACGGGTTATATTTAAAACCTCTTCCTCTACCTGGCCGTTCTCCCTAAACACTTCACAATCTCATGTCAACAGATTAATGATGGGTCCTTACACATGTGATAAATACATAATTACCTATATACTGACAATATATGAATTTGTTCATAATCGTATGTACCACATCTTACCTTGCAATGATATCATAAAAACAAAAATTTCAATAAATAGAGATTGACCAAAAAAAGAACATTTTAAAAAAGATTGATGTTTCAGTCCCACCAGAGGACTTTCTTCAGGATCAAAGGTATCTTTGATCTGGAAGAAAGACCTCTGGTGGGTCTGAAACATTGATCTTTTCATGGAATTACAATAAAATTTGAAACTTTTTCATTAAGACTGTGAGTGCAGCCACTTTTCTATGGATACTATATATATAGAACAGCTGCCATGTGATTGCTCTGTCAAAGTGATCACGTGGCCTGAGGGGAGGGGCCTGATGTGACGGAGGGAAGCTACCTGGCAGGCAGTCCCCCTGAAGTGGAGCGTTGGGTAGGTAAGTAAGCTGGCGGCTCCTGGGCTCAGAGCCATTACGGCATTCCGTGTTGCCGCAAACGGCTTTAAAGCCCATTAAATGCGGACAGCATATAACGATGTAATGGTATGAAGGTGTTAATATATATTTATAAATATAAATGAAACCAAAAGGGTTGCACTCACCTGAACATTATACATTATAGGGTGCCGCTGGGGCCAATATATACAACATACAAAATACACAATGCAGCACAAAATGAATTCAAATCTCACAGATTGTAATAGTTTTATTTAAAAACACCTCACCTAGGCAAAAAATAATGGGAGTTTAGTTACATTGCATACATTGCATAAGCCTGCCATATCGTCAATGTACCCCATTTTTGGCAGGTCCTATCCTAGCAACCTAATGCTTGCTCTTATGAGATTAATCCACTTACTTGGGAAATCCTTCCTCTAGGGACTCTCTGCAGTGCAAGGTTAAATAAGAGTGGCGTGGAATGAGGCACCTGTGACAATGAGGGATGATAATAATATACCGGTAACTCCTTGCCTCTACTGACATTTTGCTGTTGGAAAACAGCCACTGCTTGCTAACAGTAGTGTGTCTCTTTCTCCCCTAAAGTTTTTGTGTATCTCTTTCTGCTTCCTACCCCTTTTGTGGGTCTCTTCCCCTCGACCCCTTAGGTGTATATTCCGACCACCCTGCCACTTTTCTGTGTCTCTTCGATCCTGCTGTTCTTCTTTACCTCCCTTTTTGTTGCCGTGCAGACCCCAGTAAAAGTATTTTTTATTTTCTACTCTGTCCCACAGGAAGTAGCTCTACTTGATCATCTATCGCTGTCCATGCTACATAGAGTGATGTGCGCCCCCCTCCTGTTGGTCACCCAAAGATTGTGCCTCCCAGGCAGGTGCACTCTATGGTAGGCACCTGTGCCACCGTATGGTTACGCCGGGCCTGCGCTCACGCCCTGCAGGCTGCACTTACTGTGATATTTCTCAGATGTCCCCAGAAATAGGGCTCTAGAGAACAATTTTGGGACAGAAGTCTCAAATCAGACTTGTCACAGTAAATCCAGAAATTTTGGGATATATGCATCCAGCGACACGCAAGCTCTAGCCAGTCTACCACTGTAAAAAGTGTTTCATTGGATTATAATAACAATGTTTTCTTCCTTCTCTAACAAGCAAGCTTTTTGAACTGTTAAGAACCTATTACATAAGCAGGCAACTCATGATATAAATGCATTTGGCAAACCTCTGATCGTTGTAGTGTTTTTAAAAAATGTATCTCAAAACTCTGTTGACTAAAATATTAACATGTTAATCACCCACTTAATAGATGTTTAGAAATTACATACAGTACATTATAATACTATTGTAGATCACAATCACTACGTGTTGTCCTTCCCAAATGTGGCCACTCTGTGTCACTGTTGTTCAACATCTGTTAGAAGACAATCCCTTGTTGTTGGCTAAAATAATACCCTGAAATCCCTCCCACTGCACTCCAACATAAGTGATAGTCTAATTGTGTCTCCCAGGGTCTGTTTGGGGATTTGCCACGTGAAACACGCAGACAGAAAATATGGAGACAATACAGGCTGCCAAGTAACAACATCACAGACCACGGCTAACACACAGTGGAAGCTCTGAATGCAACTTAAACAGTTAATTGCTAATGCAATGTGATATCTT